TTTTCTTCTGATAACTTTCCCAAAACATTTCTCCGCTCCAAAATATGCAGTGAATGCTGTCTTTTTTCCACGCTTGCATCTCTTGTCTCTTATCCATTCTATTGTCTTTTTCCTCACCATTCTGTCTTATTTCTCTTCTTTTTTTCAGTAACCTGATGATCCATTCAATCCTTCTCGCTATATTCTTCCGATGCAAAAAATAATTTCAACAGGGATAAAATATCGCATACGCAATTATCAGAAAAAATACTATTTCAATATACCAAAAAAAGCCATTTCTGAGCCTCGTTCTTCTCGTTTTCTTTTGAAATCTCGTCTAAGCCGTGAGATCACATCGTTCAGATATAATATTCTTTTGTAATATTGTGTTTTAGACTATTGCTCTTGTTGTCCGGCTGTTTTCTTTGTCCATTAGATTTTGAAGATGGTTGAGTAATCTTCTGGTTGTTTTTTTATGATAATATATATATATATATATATATATATATATATATATATATATATATATATATATATATATATACGTTTATGCGTAAAAATTCAAATATAACTAAAATTATATGTAAAAAGATCATATGAATAAATATAAAAGTAACTCTTTTCTTAGCTTTTTCAGAATCTGATAGATTTTCTCAAAGCAAATGTAAATATTTTATTTTGCAACATGCATTTATAAACAGAAATAAATATGCCGTGAGATTATCGTCATTTTTTAACTTTAGAACGCTCATAAATATACAACAGGCTAACTGAAATTCAAGGCAAATTATGGGAGATGCTAAGTAATGTAATCATCGAAAGTAAGTAAATATATTTATATATTTATATATCTGTTCTTGAATCTATTTATATCGTAATTGATATTTACATTTTGAGAAGTTAATGCATTTATTATATATCTTAAATAATAGAAGATTTTTAATTTGACAAAAGAAATCAATTAAAAATCTTAATTTAACAAGATCCATATTTTATATATTTATTAATTGATATATCTATCTCTCTCTCTCTCTCTCTCTCTATATATATATATATATATATATATATATATATATATATATATATTTTTATATATATATATATATATATATATATATATATATATATGTCAGGGCGGCCTAACGATTACGTCTAGAATGAAACAGCCTGTCGCCTCTGAGTGTTGACTTCAATGTTCACTTTTATATTTATATTTACATACGCTCTATCTCTGATATTGAGCACTTTTTATTTTCACAAAGACACACACACACACACACACACCACACACACACACACACACACACACACACACACACACACACATATATATATATATATATATATATATATATATATATATATATAGTCCGATGAGGAAATTAAAATTAAATTTCTGAAACGTGTAGTGGTGTAAAAATGTTTTTATTATAATCTATTATAATAAAAATATTTTAATAATATTTTATTTTGGTCTACCCTTATATTGAGCAGTTTTTAAAAAGTCACTGCTAAGAACTGTGGATTCTAACTCCATCTGTCCTTTCACTTTCTTAAATGGCAAACACACACATATATATTTCATTCGCAGACAGGACTGTTTCGATGTATCACAGCTCCTCAGTGCGACTAAACAAACGAATGCCTCAAGCCCGGATCGAAACCCAACCAATTTGGTGTCAGTCAGAGCTTCTACCACTGAGTGATCTTCACGAGATGAAACCGGATGAATCAGCTAAATCTAGCGTATTGTTTTTACAAACATAAACAAGCGCCAAGCAGCCATAGGGCTCCATTCATTTTACCGAAGAGCTTCGCATTTACGCGGGTGACCGAATTGTTTGTTTCAACAACTTAATATATATATATATATATATATATATATATATATATATATATATATATATATATATACGAGTACAGGGTATTCATAACCCAACGGTGGAAAGGAAAGACGTGGTTCTTGGAGGAGTACCACCATGGAATTTGCGAATAGCGGTGCTATATCAAGTCTATTCAGTTTCTTCTTCATCACCTTGCTTTGTTTTGAAACAGTCCGGGTTCGTATCTCGATAGTGGATGAACACCTCCGATGAGTCCTAAAATTGCACGAAATATCATTCAGTGCTTTCTGTGTTCTGTTGAGGATTCTTCTAGACTCGGGGATTTAATATATATATATATATATATATATATATATATATATATATATATATATATATATATATATATATAAATATATATATATATTACTCCATTTTAATTAAACCTAAACTTTAAGAAAGATTACCCATATAAAAATAATGACAAATTGCATTCATAAATTAGATTTAAAGATGTTACCGTAAGTATTTTTTACTATATTAAAAATGTACGATCGGTCGGGTAAACAAACTATTATTATTTAAAATATTTTTTTAATATGTTCTCTATAAATGTGTTAATAAATATAGTATTTAACTTATATTAAATCCCTAAACTATTCGTTTAAAAAAATATTTAAATTGATAGCAAACATCAAATTAATTTATTCGGGTTTTTTTAGACATCTAAATTATGATCAAGCATTAAAATCTATTCTTTACATAAATTGCTAAAACCCAATTACAGTTTCTTTCTCTTTACTTCCCTCTTCCTCTTCTTTCTTTTTCCTTTTTATTTTCTCCCTTCTCCCTTCCCATTTCAATATATCACTTCCGTTAAGTTAACCGTCTAAATAGGTCAAGGTCTGGTCACTCCTCCTCCCCCAATACAAAGTATACTCGAGAGAGATATGAAATTAATCCCTCCCTATACTCTACCAAGTCTCTTTAACTACCCTTTTTACACTCTGTTAAATTACAAAAACTTACACTTACCCATCAATTTTAATTTCATTTTTCGTTTCATTTCATTTTTGGAAGTGCTATCTGATGATCCGGCGTCCTTTAAAAGGACTCTGGTGAAATAAATTATTATAATGGTACCTTAAAGCGGTCTGTTTTTAAAATATATATTTATATATATATATATATATATATATATATATATATATATATATATATATAACGTTCTTTAGGTATTATCTCTTCCTCCTTCACCACGCAGTCGTGTTCTGGTGCTCACGTTAGGGCCCTGCCTACGTGAATGTAAAAATGCCAAATACGCAACTATTTTAGCCTCGCACAAATCCGAGGAGCAAAATAGCATCTAGGCAAGGTGTTCTCAAGGACATAGTTTTGAGACGTAAATGACAAAGAGCACGCGTTATGAACTGTTGAGGGAGAAAAAAAAAACAGAAATATTTCTGTGGATTTCGCTTGTAAAAATAAATTAATCTTTCGACGTTGTTAACGAGAAATGTGCGATTCAATTGTCATTCTTAATTTCCGTTTGAGATGGAAGATTTCGTTCCTATTAGAAATCAGAAACTGGCAATGATACCCAACGTTGCCCGGGCAGAAACCGTTTCATTTTTTTTTTTTTTTTTTTTGCAGCTGTTGTTCAACGTGGCTATAATATTGTTCGAGAGATCTGCATATGCTGGGGAAATACAGGGTGCTCAGTAAAAACTGGAAAATTTATAATCACTGTTTTATTTTTCATGAATAATTGATCTTAAATAACCTTGAATAAATTTCTTCCATATTCATGACTCTCGCGTATTTGACTCTGATTGGTTCTTTTATGAATAATTGCCGCTCGATCATATGACACGTCCTTTAAAGGTTATTTACAGACAACTTTCGTTCTTCGTTCTGCCCTTCTCGCATGGCTAAACAACTCACTGGTTTTTTAGCGTCAAGTTATCGTACTTTTCAAAGAAAACATCCGACGTGTGGCTTAACGAAATGCGTAGAAATTCTTCCTGAATTTTTCAGTCACATCAGTTGTCACCAGTTTTCAACGCTTGTAGTCTGAATTTACCGCTTTTCTACTGGACACCCTGTAGTATAAACAAACTTGTCGTAATTAAAGAAGGTTTGACAATCGCTTATATTATACACCGCGTGTTGTAATAATTTATAAATACCCACAGAATGTTATTTCTTGCTTGTTAGAAGGCGCAACATATATTTTTTATTTTCTATACGTCCTTTGTTCTTGATTGTTTTTTTGATTTTCAGCTTGATATACCTGTAGCACAGGGTCGTAATAGATTTAGCGAAACAAGTTTGCTAAGCCTTACACCACATCGAAGTAGTCTTTTCAGCCTGGTTTAAGCATTATACTATAATTATTTTAACTAGGAATGATACTTGGTTTTGCGCGGGTCAACTCTATTTTATCTGCTGAACTTTTGAAGTAATCTTTTTTTTATTATTTTTTTTATTTGGATTCTTTGGAGAAAGAAAGAAATTTACCTGAATTGTAAAGCATATATACACCCCTGTGCAAATTAATTGAAACAACCGCTTCAGTTTCCTTTCTTTCACTATACGGTCAGTTCTAGACCCTTGGACTGACAGGGTGTAATCGATTTCTATTTTTTCCACAGATTAGGTCATTTGCAGTGCTGTGCAGTAACACGAATCTAGTTTAGGGGTGTATGATGAAATTTGTTACGCCTTGAAAAATATTGCGTCATCCGTGATTGCATCAAATTTTCAACACGCCCAGACACTACTGTCTCGACTGTCGATTAGTTGTCTTACGACCATTGACTGTGATGGACGTTACTCCAAGGAAACGTACGAAAATTGTAACACCGTCGAACACACTGGAAAGCATTACCAGTAAGCAAATACTATAGATTTAAATTCAATCGAGAATCGTTGGTCAATCTGCAAGGAACGACTTTGTGGAATGTACATACAAAGTACTAACATCTGCACTGGGTCATGTTTCACTAGAAAAAATACGAAAAAAAAGTAAATAATAACGGAATTATTCATTTTGTATCACTTAATTTGCAAAAGGGTGTATATGAGTGAAACTTCTTTAATTCGTGATTTTGATAGATTTCAAAATTTTTGTCGTCGCTCATATAAGCCGTGGTATAATATTCTTATTTTTAAATGCCAAGGCTCTTATTATGTCGTGGGAGATCATGATTCTCCAAAAACATCCTATCATTTGCGGTGTTAACTCACTTAAACGTCTCTCTAAATGTTCGATTTACACACGTTCGTTAAGATGTTACTCTGCATCTCTTTCCTTCATATCCGGTAAGTGTTAAATTCTCCACA